ACACACACACACACACACACACACACACACACACACACACACACACACACACACACACACACACACACACACACACACACACACACACACACACACACACACACACACACACACACACACACACTGAAGCAGCTCTCCGTGCTGATATAAACACTGAACAGAGGGGAAGTGCCTGTGTGTGTGTGTGTGTGTGTGTGTGTGTGTGTGTGTGTGTGTGTGTGTGTGTGTGTGTGTGTGTGCGTGTGTGTGTGTGTCTCTAACAAATCAGTGTCTTTGTTTTTCTGTATTTCAAAATAAGAGTGGTCCAGAGGTACATGTTTGGTTATATTTCAAAATAAGAATACTCTAGGAATGAATTGTTGTTTATATTACAAAATAAGAGCGGTCCAGCAATGACTTTGTTTCTATATTTCAAAATAAGAGCAGTCCAGCAATGACTTTGTTTCTATATTTCAAAATAAGAGCGGTCAAGCAATGATTTTGTTTCTATATTTCAAAATAAGAGCGGTCCAGCAAAGGCTTTTTGTCTTCTTTTCATTGACACCAAAACAAACTGCTTTTATGTAACCAGTCTTTTCTGATATACTGTAAAGTAAGTAATCGTTTCCCGTCATTCAGCATGTTTCCCTTCCTGTTTGGAGCTACGGAAAGTTCTGTCAATATTTCCTGGTGGTGGGGCTCAGGGTCACGGGTCAGAGAGAAATCCTTTGAGACCTCATCAGCTGTCGGACACTGAGCTCCCATCAGGCCGCATTGATCCCACAGATCCATCGCCTCCATTAGGGGAAGGCTGCAGCAGTTTGACCAGTGCAGGTTGAGTAGGGGGATACTGATGTTCCACACTGAAGGAAAACATCTTATTTTATTCAGTTTCTTTATCATTTCCTTGCGATCATTGTGTCACAGTGTGTAGGATCATAACCTCTTTAAACGATCTATAACAAATAACTAATGAAACTAACTTTGAAAAGAAAAGCCCAACTCAAGATCAAAATGTTTTATGGACATTTGCTCCGTTTCATTTTATTTATTTGGGCAAACGTGCATCTACGCCCTAATTGGGATTCGTTCAATACTTTAATAGGTTATCGTTGGACTATGATACACCCTGCAACCACATTTTTATTAAAATCAGACTATATTATCTGAAATCCTGCTAAAAAAACAAACCAAACAGAAATCCAAACCTCAGAATTGGCAGTATTTTAAACTTTTAAAGTCAGTAAAGCCACATAAACAAATGGGGCGAATCCTGCTATAGTTCAAGGCCTAGAACCCTAGACGCCAAACTCAAACTACATGCTGCTTCTAATACACAAAGAAACACGTGAGTTGTCTGATTGAACTTTAAAATGAGGCTTCAAAACACCTGTGATTATTATTTCCTGTGTGGGATGACACCCTACATCTCGAGGGAATACGCTGTCCTTTTCCCCCCAATGTTGTACTGTTTGATCGCATTCACATCTCATATAAAATTCAAGATTCAAGATGTATTGTCATGAGCACAGTAGCTACAGATATGGCAATGAAACACTTGGGTCACACGGTCCTCCAACAGTGCAACACGAATATATGACAAGACAAATACAGCTGATCAAGTAGATTGTAATACACAGAACTTGTTCAACATTTCAAACAGGAGAGCCTGGCACAGTAGAGATTAAACCAAAGCTAACCTATTTAATTTCTTTGACCCAGATATTTCTGTAGTTAGACAGAGAGGCATCTAAGGTCAGATTTTAAAGCGAGGGGATTCAAAACCATTATGTGTGATCCGCAGCAAACTGTTTATAAGGTTTAAACGAGATGTTTGCCTACTGCTTTTGAGAGAGAGGGGGGTATAGTATTTACAAGAGGCGCTGCAGTAATACTATAGTATTTACAAGAGCAGCAGAGCTGGAGGGCTTCCGACAGAGACCTCAGTATTATTAGCATCAACCTTTTCAGGCATGCTGCTCTGTGGGTGAGAGGGTTCAGGGAGCAGAGCCAGGAACAGAGAGAGAGAGAGTCAGCAGAGATGGAGGAAATGACAAACGCTGCGAGGAAGGACGAAGCAAGGAAGAAAACCAGAGACAGAGAGAGAGGCCACTGGGCCACAGAAAGGCCTTTAGAAGAGAGGCAGTCGAGGGTCCTCCAAACTTTGACATGGCGGAGAAAAGACCAGCATGTGTTCGAGTGTCTCATTTGAAATCCATTCATGACTGTGTGAAAAACGAGCTGGTGGCGGGGGGCCAGTTTCCAGCGCTGATACAGAAATCGTCGGGTCAAAACAGAGGAGCCGTTCGTGTCCGGGGGAAAAATGCACAAGCAAACATTAGATCACAAGAGGAGGAAGCGCTGAAGGGGGCTTCAGACAGAGGGGTGCTCGAGATGGTGCTCGGTTCAGAGTGCAGCGGCAGAGAGGAATGAGATAGAGATGGGACTGTTTGGGAAAACCCCGACAGTTAGAAGAAACCCATTGGGATGAGGAACAGTGC